GACGTCCATGTGGACACTAAACAGTGGTTAGCACAAGAGGAAGGAAGTCTCTTCAAAGACTGGAAGCAGCAGGCTATGAAAAAGACCATTCAGTCCAAGAAAGTTGAAGATGAGAGTAAAGAGGATGCACATAGAAGGTACAAACATTTTTCAGCATTGTTAAGAGTTTCGGCATTCACCTCATTCAGATTTTAGGGAGAACTTCATGAGAAAAAATCTTATTCCAAGCCGTGTCTGATTTGAATATGCATCAGAAAACCTCTGAGTTTGTTTGTTTGTTGTTGTTGTTTTTTTGTTTGTTTGTTTTGCTTTGAAAATATTGTCTTGTTCAATGTTGCTTTGTAATTGGTTCCCAAATCAAAGATGGTTATTGTATTTTTTTTGTTTATGAATAAATTGGTCAAAGGTTCTCAGATGCATGTTGTCCTTTCAATCCATATTCTTATTCTAATTATTGGAGTCAAAGTGATGTTCTACATGTAGCTGTTTTTACAGACTTATAAGCTTTGCCAAGACAGCATTTTATTGATGTTTAATGCTGCCTGTCTTTAGGTATCTGATGGAAAAGTATGCATGCAAATGGAGATTRTATGTAGAGAAAAAGAAGCAAGAAAAACCATCAAATGTCACCAGTGATGACGATTGGTTGAGACAAGTATTGTTCACWCCATCCAGTAGAGCAGCTCGGCAGATTGCTTGTACCATTGTGGAGTCCCTGTGTCAGGTGAGAGGAAGACCACAAGATAACCGGCCACAAACTCTACACTCTACTCTCTCCGGTTTCGCTCCGCCCCAATCCCCTTCGAGAGAGGGCTAATCAAAGGGCGCCAAACATCATGATACACAACACAAATATTTTTTGACAATATATCTTATTTCCTTCAGGTTCCAAGTCGACGTACACAAATGCTTGATCTCCTCACAAGGTATATTATCAATAAATCATTAATTCATTAGCTTATTGATGCATAATAACTTATTAATTGTTTAACTACGTTTTCCACAGTTTTCTAGATGAAGTGAGCTCGGCTGGAGAGAATGCAGCGGAGTTCTTTGAGTTGTATCARAAGCTCATAAGTCCAACGTATTCCAAGTTCTACTTGGCACTGAAAGGCGCATTGCTACAGATTGGYGAACTTATTACCCTGGTWAGTYCCARCAAWGCATRATTTTCTATGTCTGACGCTACTCATSATAACCTGTGCATCCCTAARAAAGAGACTTAYTCACAGTTTCAGTGTTTGTAATTGTGCAGCAAATGCAGCCATGATATTGTAGTACAGCGAAAGCTTGACTCTMCTAGAGTGGTTTTCATTAAMCCGTGAAACACACTTTAGCMTATTTATCGCTATTACACTTTGGCTCTTTTGTTTTTTATTGTCWCTACGCGACTATTACGATCTATTRCACTCTAATTATTACAYWTTGTTTCACGGGTTTATGAAAACCACTCTAATAAATATTATTTTGCATCAMACAGCAGTATTTGKCCGCWYTTGCTACACYATTACTTCACTATTATGCTGCTRAAGGATAACTTCTTCRMYGTTTGTTTTCAAACTTTAAGCAATATTCCCGCACTAATTATCAATTGCTCAATCTGATAGGAAATCAACCGATTGTCTTCCTTGGAGCAAACGACTCTTAGTTCAGACTTGTCTCAAGGCTATGCATTACATATGTTGACTGGTAGGTTGAATACCATTTATTTTTATCAACATATTTGTTATCCAACAATTATTTTTATCAACTTTTATCTCCAGACACTCTTGCCACATTTATATTCATCAARCATGAGAATCTAAAGCAGAAATTCAAAGGCAAGCTTGTGGGTACWGTTTTGAATGGATACTTGTCTCTCAGACGGTAAGTTGTGAATATTGTTCATAAAAGAAATAATTTTTAAGTACAGCTAACCTTGTCGAGGACTTTTCTGAGTCATTGCTAATGTGAGGCCCTATACATGTACATCTCTTCTTGATAATCATTTTATTTGTTTGTATAGGTTGGTTGTTCAAAGGACTAAGCTTATTGACGAAACACAGGAGTTGTTGCTTGAGTTGTTAGAAGAAATGACRACAGGTAACTGACATTGATTTCTGATTTCGTCTTCCCATCACAATTATTTAAGGTAACCTAATACTTTGTTGTACTTAGGAACTGAAGTAGAGACCCGTGCCTTTATGGCTATTTGTGTCGAGACACTAARCAGGTAAATAAAATCACTAAACACTCACAATTGTGACTGAATCACAAAAGAATTGAGGCCGAGGCTCCAAGGAAACATTAGTGCAGGTATCTGGTTTCCCTGAGTCTCGTCTTTAGTTTGTGTGTATGAATGACCATGGATTGTTTGCTTGTTGTTTATTATTAATTAATGTAAGTCATGTTTGTTTTAAGATATGATCAAGATGACYTGCGTACTCCAGTCTTTATATTTGAGAGGCTGTGCAATCTTATCTATCCGGTATGTACTGATGATCTTGTGGGTGGGTGGATTGGTCACTGGAAAAAATCGCGGGCTGTAAAGGTTGTAAATTTGATGTAAATATGATGTAAGTGTCCAAAATTCTGTAAATTTAATGGAAATCATTTACATCAAATTTACATCATTTTGGACACTTCATCAAATTTGCAACCTTTAAAGCGCGCGATTTTTTCCAGTGGGTGGCTGGTTTTATTGCTTGCTAGGTTGGTGTTATGCTTGCTTGCTTAGTTGCTTTTTGCTTGGTGATTGACTGCTTGGTTGTTGGCTGTTTGATTCATTAAGTAACCCACTAAATTACGGTTTTTCAGGAGGAAAATGACATTGGGGAGTTTTTTATGACTTTGGAGAAGGATCCACAACAAGAAGACTTCTTGCAAGGTCGCATGCAAGGCAACCCATACAGGCATGTAGCATCGGTCATTATTTATGTGCTTAGTTTGCTGTCTTCTTGAAGCATCTTTCTGTAATCTCCCAGCTCAAATCCTCTTATCCTCTCAGTTTACATCAATTTGGTGAAGATGTTGACAATGGTTGTTTGTTATTTGCAGCTCTAATGAGCCTGGTTTAGGGCCTTTGATGCGGGACGTCAAGAACAAGATTTGCACAGGTAAATTATGAACATAATGTGAATATTTTAAAAGAGGAAATGACTTTCAAACTCCATTTATTTGTTCGTTTTATTTGTAGATTGTGAACTGATTGCACTTCTTGAAGACGATAGTGGAATGGAGGTGTGTTAAAAGCATCTAAGAAGCGTTTTTTTACCATCCCAGAACCAAAATATCATGAATTTAACTGATGCAAAGAAATCTTACCATGACCTTTTTTAATACTGTCTGAAGTTTTTCTGTTTCAATTGTAGTTACTGGTTAATAACAAGATCATCAGTCTTGATTTAGCTGTCAAAGATGTGTACAAGAAAATCTGGTGCCCAGAAGGAGAGGTTAGTAACAATATTTCAATACGCAATTCATAGATAATACAATTATGAAAACATCATGGATTTTGTCTTTTTCTGACTTTCAGGGTGAGCCAATGAAAATTGTGTATCGAATGAGAGGTGAGAATAATTATTATTGATAGCACTGAATAATGTTAATTAAATCCTTAATATTATCATCATTGTCATTCACATTATCCTTCTTTGATTTTTGTTAGTATTTGCTGTTTTTTTTTTTTCATATTGTGTTAACTTTGCACATTATTTATCTTCAGGGTTGCTAGGAGATGCAACTGAGGAGTTTGTTGAAAATCTTGATAACAGYAAAGGTCAGTCCTATTCCACATAAGCTATTTTCTACTCATTAATATTATAATGGAGTGATGAAAATGTCCAAAATTATTGTATTAATGATTGTCACAACAAGAGATGGACATTGATTTGGAGAGTATTTTCTTGTTTCTTCATGTATAGAAGAAGATGTTGATGTTGAAGAAGTGTACCGAATGGCGTCGGTCATGTCAGTGTGTGGTGGTCTTGAAGCAATGCTTACAAGGTGAAAATGTGTTTTAAATTAATCAAATTTAATCAGTTTACCATATGATAACCAAAGGAACAACATACAGTCAACTCTCGCTATAACGGACACCCTCGGGACCGTAATTAGTGTCCGCAGTAGCGAGAGTCCGTAAATAACTAGTCACTTTCAGTCATTTCTTTGTATTTTCCGTCAGGGACTAAGTATTTCCTGTCCGTAATATCGAGGTGTTCGTGATATCGAGGTGTTCGTAATATCGAGGTGTTCGTAATATCGAGGTGTCCGAAATAGAGGGGTGTCCGTAATAGACGGGTGTCCAAAAGGCGAGAGTTGACTGTAGTTATTATGTGGGTGAGAAAGTAACTCATTTAATTGCTGATGTATTTGATGCATTCGTAGATTAAGTGTTGTTCGTAATCTGGTTCGTGGTCGACAGCTGGCGTCAGTTATTCTTAAACTACTGGGATACTGCGTCAAACTGAAGGTATGCTAATTACAGGAAGTTTAGCCTCATTTATTCAATTATCCCAGGTCCTAAATGGCCAAGCAGGTACCAATTTTCAATTCAGTGAAGGAAATGGCCAAATTGCATTCAGTGCCAACATTTTATATTTATCATAATGACTTGGAAAATTAACTATGGTAGACGTCCATAGTCATGGTAGATAACTTCAAAATTGATATCGATTCACAATCTGTTTATATCCATCAGCTTTACCATTAAATATTATAGTATCCTTATGCATACACTGGAAAAAATCGCGCACTTTAAAGGTTGTAAATTTGATKTAAATATGAGGTAAGTGTCCAAAATGATGGAATTTTGATGGAAACACTTCATTCCCATCAAAAGCGCGCGATTTTTTCTAGTGATAAAGCATAAAGGGATAATAAAGAGTGATACTGTACTTGTATTTTTATTTTCAAATATAAACAAAATCTTATAAAATGTTGGATATATTGACGCGCGATTTTGCTGTTTGTTTCCCAGGTCAATCGTCAGTATCTTTGCAATCCATCATTGAATGCCCTCAACGTCCTACTAGGAACACTAAACCAGTCACTTCAAATGGAACAAGAATCAAGCGGTGGTGGAGGAGCTGCCATGGCCGAGGAAGTCCTAAGTATCATGGAAAGTATCTTACAAGAGGCAACGTCCTCACCACAGCTAACCCAACCACCAAGTGAAGGAGATCGTAGTCAGCTTGATATGCTACTTGATAAGATTACTAGTCCATTTGTACGAGCAAGTACAAAGATCCTACAAGCCATGATGAGAATTATACCATTCTTGACTTTTGGTGATGAAAAGAATATGAAAACGTTGATTATCCATTTCATGCCGTATCTGGATTTTGAGAAGTTCGATGGCGAGAGATCAAGTGATGAAACCTTGTTTATTGACTGCTTCTGCAAAATTGCCAATGGAATTGAGGTATGTTTTGTAGTACCTTTTCTAAAACCTTACTGGAATTATTGGATTCTTKTTAATAAAGTTGACTTTAATTAGCAGTATATCAAAACTCTTGTTTGGGATTATCATAGTAAGATTCTGTTTATATATTTCACACAGAATAATCAAAGTGGAGCAAGACTAAAAGAAATGATCATTGAAAATGGAATAGTTGACAAAGCAATCAAATACCTAGAGACACACACTCCTTCACAACCTTTCAGCAAGGCAAACCTCGCTGAGTTAGATATCTGGAAGGAATTCCTTGCACGTCCGTCGTTACCGTATGTMTTAAGACTACTATCTGGTCTTTGTAAAGGAGACAAGAAAATTCAGGTGAGTATCGAAAACCATGAAATAAAATCAAATTAAATACTAATAATTAGCGGCTTTTTAGAGACAAATTGTCAGTATTAATGAAAAAAAGTTCCTCAGTCTTTGAAACACTATCATGTAGCTTTGTCCAGTGTCAGTGTCTTTAGATATTTTCATTATTTTGTAGAATATAATTGGMGAGGCTTCCATCCCAGTAATTCATCGACTAGAACAAGTTTCATCTGAGGAGAARGTMGGATCTCTTGCTGAGAACYTACTCGAGGCATTACGAGAGAACAARGAAGTYGAAAAAAAGATCAACGAGGTGAGAAGACARACTCGAGCWGAGAAAAAGAGACTTGCAATGGCCATGAGAGAGAAACAGCTTGGTGCCTTAGGAATGAAGACAACTGGTGAAAAGATCATCGCGAAGCCGAACAGTCTTACTCGTGAGATGGAACACTTGGCGGAGGAATCTGGTTTAGTGTGTTGTATCTGTCGTGAGGGATATAATTACAACCCCCAAAAGGTTAGTTTGGTTATCATCACATATCAAACAATTGCCTCAGAGAAACATTCATTCGTTTGCCAAACTTTTGCTGACTATATATGGTAATCTTACCTTATATGGAAGTACGATAGAAAGTTTTTTTCAAGTTTTTTCCACCTTTTAGTGCTTTAAAATGGCTAAAACTTACAGAATTTGCAGAGAAATCGCTTTTCAACATGTCGGCCATTATAATTTTGTCCTAGTCCCCTCCCATCCTTGAAAATAAGGAATCCCACAAAAGACACAGGTAGCCCGCGCGAATGTTAGCAATTGTTTGATATGT